CATATTGGTACGTGTGCACAGCAAAAACAGTAACACCGATGTACCACAATTCTGTAATTTTTATCTCGTGAGCACTGGAATTGTTTATGTTTTAGCTTATTTCAATAAAAACCACAACAAGAGCTAGGGCTTACACTAAGGATGTAATTGTCAGAATTGAGCATGCATTTAAACGCATGTTACAATCAGCACAGGCAAACATGCCACTTTTGAATTTACAGTCATGCAGATGTGCATTTGCTTTTAGTGTAAAAATAATGCAGTGCATTAAGTTAGAAAAGCACATTACGTGGAGTTTAGTTTAGTCTGTTAGTGCATGGACCGTGCAACAGAGTTACATGCATACATGTACATCACACTGTTTGTTGCCATGGATCAACCAATCAGAACTGAGAATTCAAGTTTGCCTGAAGATAATTTTATATGTACATTCTATGGATAAGATAGTGCTTTGTGGTTGGCGTATGGCAGGCCATATGGCTCAGCTTTGCCTTGCTGAATAGCTCTATCACTGTATAACAGAGTCATATTAGTTATCTTTGTGTAATTAAGCATGCACTTAAAGCTGAAATGTCCATGTGATACTTTTGGGTTGATTATGGATACTTTTAATAAATCCATGAATTTGAACAGAGCCAAATTTGGGCGTAAAAATTATCTACATGTAGAGGTACGTACATTTATTTCTATGCAAAGAAAATTCTTCCCCCTTTTTATTCTGAACGGTCATGCTTTTTATCTTTCATTCATTAACAGATACCTAGAAGTCCATGTAGCACTTGTAAGGTTCAGACAAAAACTGTGGAGTATAACAGGTATGGTCCCAATGCAACATACATGAACATAATGTACATGTACATGCGTACATCTTGCGGTTATCCATTTCTCTGTGGAAAAATTACCGTAACAAAGTAAATCTGCCCCCGTTACATGTACTTATCACATAAATAACCATGCAGTCCTTATCTACGTCTACATGTACATGTATGAAAAGAACAAGTCAGATTTTCAGTTCCATGTACGATATACTGCTAGTGCAATTTATGCTCTTCAAAAATATTCATGAATTGGAAAAGCCAATTAGCCAAAAAAAAAGATGTATTTCAGAGGCTGCAGGGACTATTAAGCCAAAATAAATTTGCACTGTTGCTCCCAAGATAAATACGTGCACAGCCAGAGTATGGGGCCACGCATCAACTGCAGTACCAAAGTGTTGGTCTTTCTGAGCACATCTGGCCCATTTATCACTCCAAAACCTTTTAATCCTGGGGCCGGAGAGAGCCATGTCTATACCAAACCTATCTGCATTAGTTACGCATACATTAGTTCACTTATTAATGCCTTTACATGTTGCTCAAAGAAGAGAGCTGAGGAAAGCAGACCAACACTGTACGAACCAAAGCATATCATTCCAAGGTGATTTGTAATACAGTTGGAAATCATAGGGGCAGATTTTTATTTCCCTGGTTGACTTGGTTAACCAAACTACGCAAGTATGGCAAATGCAGTTCTGTCATTCAAGACAAATTATAAATGAGGCAATTTGAAGAGAAAAAAAATTTAAATCAACAATCAAACATCTGGACTGAACAACATGTACCACTAGGTCTCCGCAATCAAACAAGTACATTCAATTTTTGTCCCCTTATACAATTTTTTTTATTCGCTGGGGTACCGTATATTACACAATGTTAAATATGATTACTCTACGGATGTGTTTATAAATATTTCATTGACGTCACAGCAAGATTCTAAATTACCAGATTGTTGTGCTCTAGGCTATTTATAACCCTGCTACCGGTATCTGTTAAAAATTACAAGAACTTGTATAACAAAAGACCCAACAAAGAATTACTTGGTACTCTCAAAGGATATGTCAACATACATGTACCTGTACATGTACACGGACATTTGACAGAACCTGTTACATGTACTAATATGTAAAGTGTAAGCCTCCAGTCAACTTCTGGAGGAATCTAATCAAGCTTATGTGTCTCAAAGTTGAGAGTGCAGAGAAGTTTAACATTCACTCTAGAATTCATACCAATGCCCTGAATGTTTTGGGTTATTTTGCTCTTCCTTTGCCTCAGTTTACTTTGAATACATGTATTAGTACTTTAGTAGCAACTGCCTTGATGCCCCAAATTTTGGTATAAAAATTCACGGCATGCATTGTACTAGTCCATGTACATGTAGGTATGTGAAGCCAAAATTACTGCCAGGAGACCTGTCCTCGTGGATTCATATGATGCTTCTGAAACTCTGATCACTTCTACATAAATGATTATGATAGCTCTACATGTACAATTCCTTTCTTGAGATCTGAATCTGATTAGTTACATTAGATACTGTGTACATGTAGATGTACCATATGTACATACATGTATGTAAGATGTCCAGGTTACAGTTGTACAAACCTGACTCTAAACCAAAACTGGGCAAACCTGAAAAGTTCTGACCTCCGGTTGGGTTAGGTTGGGTTTTTAGAGTCAGGTCGGGTTAGTATTGAGTTTTTCATTATGGAGCTCCGATCAGTTTACACGGGCATGTAAGATGTTCAATCCAACCCAATGCACATTAGTTTACACATATCCATGTATGATGTGGTACAGGGCAACGACAGGCATTGTATGGACTTCTTCAACAGGGTTAAGTTGCAAAATGAAAAAGAACATTCAAATTATTGGCACTTACTGTACATGTAGCAGTCTATGAAAAGATTATGTTCATAACAATCTAAAAAAAGTGCCCACACAGTTCACAAGCAATCCAAGCTACCGGTATGGTAACTGACCCCTCCTTACATGTACAATGTATGCACAGTACTTGTATTTCAACAAGATACATATATGTACACTATACATGTACATGTACATGTATGCAGGTGAACAAGTTGCACGTGCAAAGTCACTTACTGTACATGTAGCAGTCTATGAAAAGATTATGTTCATAACAATCTAAAAAAAGTGCCCACACAGTTCACAAGCAATCCAAGCTACCGGTATGGTAACTGACCCCTCCTTACATGTACAATGTATGCACAGTACTTGTATTTCAACAAGATACATATATGTACACTATACATGTACATGTACATGTATGCAGGTGAACAAGTTGCACGTGCAAAGTCACTTGATATAGGAATGTAAGTCAGGATGGTCTGATCAAAATGGAGTGTCCTCGGGGCAAGACTCTCACCTCTGTCCATTTCCTGGGAAGGAGTGCCGCATCTTCAGCTCTCGAGATGAGGACATCTGCATGCACAGTTCCTTTCCCTACCCCCCTTCCCTTATTAACAAGCTCGGACAGTGCCAAAGGTACACAGGAAAGCAAGCTGGAGCCTAGTACCTACGTCGCACAAGAATGTGGGGGGCAGGCAACCCCTTTAAAGGGGTTAATTTCTAAACATCCCCATTATCTGATTGGTTGTTTGTAATCATTTTTCCTGAATTATTCATCGACTAGCAGAGCACACAGCAGATAATAGCACACAAATAAGGGATGTATCACATTCGTGCAAAGGTAAGAAAAATTTCATGAGGTGACAGATGAAATGTTCTATTCCTCTCAGCTTTGCCTCATGAAATGGAACATTTCACTTTTCCCCTCAGCTTTGCCTCATGAATTGGAACATTTCCTCTGTCACCTTATGAAATTATTCTTACCATTGCACAAGGGTAAAACATTTATTATTTGTTTTATAAAATACCTGCATAAATCCTCATCATAATATCATTTTCTGTTAAGAGAAAAAACAGTCCTCACGAATTAATGTCAGCCATTTCCTGAAATAGATTCATGTCTGAAGCATGGTCACATCCCTTACCATGTAATGCTAAACTGGTTCCAACAATCCCTACATTATTTTTCTGTGTCTCACGGGGAATGAAATATATGAGATGGGGGTGAGAACCATGGAGGCACAAGAAAAGAAGTTCTAATAAATGGTTGCCATTGAATAGAAACAACAATTCAATGGCATGTAATCAACGATCCAGCAATCAGACGACAAGGATTGATGCAGGTGCTGTATAAACTTTCTGTCCTCGGTGCCCAGGTTTGCTACACTGCTGGTCATGTACATTTCCTATTGAATTCTGTGATTCAAGATTGAACTGATTACTTTTTGGGCTAGTTGATTGCTTTTCTGTGCATATTTTCTTAACTGATAAACCTTCTTATAATTTCCCTAGATTCTGCTAACTACTGTACATATATCTACATATACCAGTAGGTGGAATAGGGTGACAGTTGTGTCACCCCACTGCGGTATTCTTAATTTGTCCTTCCTATAAAAGGCTAACACTAACAGGAGAAAGCTTTTCAAAGGGTGTAACAGGTGTGTCACTCCAATCACCCAGTTGCCCAAACCTTGGTGTAAGAATGCCCTTTCCTAAAAGTGACTGCTGAAACTTTGAAAGTAATCATCTCGAAAAAATAAATTTATGGCGTTGTTCCAACTTTTTAGTTCCATCAATAAGCAGATCCACAATGGAATAAATTCTCCTAAGTTAGACTGAAAGAATTCTTTTGAACAATTTGTTCAATAATAATTGACTATTGTTATAATCTCCATTCACAAACTCAGATGCCACTTTGTCAGAAAAAAAAGATTACTTCCATTTTAGCACACTTTAAAAAGATTCACTGCATGCCTTCAAACAAACTGAAAGGCAAGACAAAATGTGACCCAAGCTAGTCACACTTTGCCAGAGCCACTTTATTGAGTTATGTACATGAAAAATGCCCAGGAAAAAGGACGTTTTACAGTCTAAATTATTGGCAACCTCAACACTTTTTGCCCAAATGATGCATGTCCATTTTCATCCGGATGCCAACCGAGTAATAAATCAAAACAAAGATCCCATAGGTTTGCTCTTTCTGATACAAACTACCAGTGGAACAAAAATGACTGAGGGGGGATGGCCATAAGACTCATTTTGTGGGATCCAGTCCCCCGATATCCACTGCACAGAAGGGGCGGTCGGGCGGGTACTTACAACATGAAATCCTGCTCCCAGGAAGGCCAGCTCCCTTTAACGGCCACAGTGGTTGACTTCACATTCTGCAGCTTGAGGGTCACGTAGGAGTTGAATTTATCTGCCAGGCGGAAAATCAGAGACGGCAGTTACAGATCAGATATGGGTCACACAAGCTGTGCACGGGGCCAATCAATTTTACATTTAAGTGCTACTGTATAGGGCCGCTAAGGTTGTGGGTAACTACGGGAATACACAACAGACTCGGACACATGCACATGTACATACGCATCACCAAGGATGAGGCATTTTGTTTTCGACATGTATTGTTCCTACAACATAATTCTTTCCAGCAGATAAAGAATGGGCAGAAATAGCTGAGGACAAAAACATGTCATCAATGACAGGGAAACATCTCTGTTTCCTGTGGTGCAATAAAACATCTATGGTGTACATGTACATACAAACAGGTGGCACATGAGGGCGTAAGTTTTGACCTACATATATTTGAACATTTCAAGCACAACCATACATTTCTGATATCAATACTGGTTCATCTGCTATGACCACGCCACTCAGAGCTAAAAATGTGAAATACTGCAGGCAAAGTACAGTGTAATAACAAATTCCTAAAGCACTGTGCACTCAGGAAGCCCTCATAACCAGACTTCTATGGCATTTGCACAACAGCTGGCACGATGCATCTCCACCATTCCTGCGGGCTTCGTAAATGTCTAGCAATTAATTGCCTGGATTATCTACACTGCCAAATATCTGCCACCTATTGACAAGATTCATGTACTTCCCTCTTTAAGTTCTGTCTTTTTCCCACTTTGCTTGCATCCGCTAATTGTTTTTAAAAGCTTCTGCTTAAAAACTTAATAATTGTAACTGTGTTGTTTTACTGTATCTTTAAGAGAAAAAAATTTGGTGGATGACATCCTTGTAATTTTGATGCTCTGTAAATTTACCTTTAATCACTTCTTTGTAAATATCGTGATTTTTTAATTGCATTGTGCACATGTATGGGAAAACAATTTTTATGTCTTTTAAGCATGACGTTTGTGAAGTTCTACAAGTCTACAAGTTCATCTGGGTACAATGTTTTCTGGTTTGCTGTGGCTCCTACTATATAAATGTACAGTGTAATTGCATGCCCACAACTGTTGTTTTTTGCTTCAGTACATGTAAGTTTGCCAATGGGTTTCTCGATCATCTCAGTGAAAAAGCTTTGTCTCTTATTGTAGACAATTGTCTTTTCCACCATGCCGGCTGCAGAAAAGGCAGACATCTCGTCCAAGTGGAGTCCTATGGGTAAAATTATTAGTCAGCAAACAGATTTGATTCGGGTGACTGAATTGTAGAAGTAATTGGCTACAGATCTCCACAAGTAAACAATCACTGGATCTTAAGGGGGGGATTACTGAGTGATCTCCCACAACTAATCCATTCTTTTGTTGCTTCAAGCAGCAGTGAACTTAGCAGAGGACTGTGACCATCCTCCTTGCTCAAGATAAGTGATGGAAATATAGACCTGTAAATAACTAATTACAGAACACTTTGAGAATCATGAGTATCCCCGCCAGAAGCCCATGCCACTTAATCTCGTCTCAGTGCCGCTCATCAGTGACGAGACGTTGCTTTACGCTACGAATCCCACGGCCAGCCAATATTGAGCCCAGCCATGCTGAAACTGGCAAGATTTCTTCCTCCCTTCAATCCACCCACAGAGCGGCATCTCTGGATGACATTTTATGCTGTTTCCATGAGAGAGGAGGAGGGGAGGGGGAGAGATAAATAGTCAGCTAATACCTTGCACCCAATGTAATTACTGTCAGACTGATCGGCTCATGTCGGCCGGCATGTTTCGCGGGCTCCCCTTCGGGGGCTGAGTGGACAGTAATCATGGTTAAATGCTGGCCCCTCCCACTTGCTTAAACCAGACAGCTGAGCTTATTGAGCTCCACGGTGCTGCCATGAATAATTCATGCCATGCCATACCCACACCTCCGCACAATATTAAACTTATGTGTAGTATGAGAAAACTGACGAGTCCAATGTACATGTAGGTAAGGTATAAAGAGGGGAAGATTATATTAAATGCATACAAAGACAATTAATTATTGCTGTGCAGTACATGTACCTACATACCATACACTTGTACTCTGGACTTTCATTTGAGTACTTTTTTGTCCATGTACGTGTATCATATTTTGAACTGTGTTTTCATTCATTCTTACCAAAAATGTGAACTTCCGTAGCTATGTACATGTACAATATACCTCAATATTTCTTCCACTGACTACTTGTCCACTACATGCGCAATGTACATGTACATTATTTTAAGCATAAACCTGTACTTGTACATGTAGTACATGTACCGTTACATGTGAATCCATACTCCTTGGTGTTGAATTTATCACTGAACTTGATTCACCTTTCTGTGTACCATAGTAATGTGCAAAGTAGACTTTGCAATGTTCATGTGCTGATACATGAGTAACCTAACATTGTATTGCACTATCATGTACATCGTAGATGTGTACATGTAATATGCATGTGCCTGGGGACATCTGGTATGTTCAGTTTTGTATGATTTTGTGAAATGTTGCTCTACCGTTCCCTCATCAACACCTGTACATCCAATTATGACTGCCTTTCCTTTACACCTCTTGCTCTTTCAGAGGCCAGTAACTGCTGAATCACTTTGATGTAGTAAAGCTTGTTCATCCCGTCCTGGTTTTCATTCCTGTGTGTCTCATTATCTTCAGACTGACAGTACTCATCATCTGTGTCTTACATTCTCCTTGTGTCTAGTGCTCGTGAAAACCTTCATTCATCACTGCACAGTCTTCTCCTCCTCGTGGTCAGTGTTGTATCTCAATACGTTTATTTTTATTAAATCTGAGGCTTCATCAGTCACTATGGTCATGCTCATTTGTGGGATATCGGCCGAGGTCATTCTTACAATCAGAGGCCATCTGTGACTCCTCTTCCTCAAAAAAAAGATAAAGGGCTGAACTTCACAGAAAATCTTCTAAACTTTTGCTGTGAAAATTACATTCCAAATATCGTGTACATGTTTATGCTCTCCGTAGAAGTACCCCACACTGGCAAGACTGGTGGGGATCATTTCAATTTTGCACACAAGCTGGATGCACATGCAAAGAGTTTACATTCCACCACAAAATGGTCATACATGTGCTTTGTGCCAACTGCACCATGCACACCTGAACTTGTGCCAGGGCCAGTCAAACATTCAGAGGAAAGTTTCTTATTTAAGGAAATTCAGGAGCTAGTTATGGGAACACAATTTGTTCCCCATCATAAATTTGTCCCCATTTTATCATTCAACTTGCCTGTACCGTACCGGTAGTCCCAAAAACTATGTGCGCATGTATACTGAGTCCCCACCAAAGGGACGCTGTTGTACCTATATAAACAAAGAGAACACAAACAACACAAATTCCACCACCATTTTTGGGCAGGCAAAGCATGTTTTGTTCTTTTTTGCATCAACACGGGGCCCCCTAGTAGCTCTGAATTTTTTTTTTAAAAATCAATAAATGAATAGCTGGGGTATCTATATTGCAGTTTCAGAAAAATGTGTTCTGCCGAGCTCATCGGACAACCAAAGTTTCAACTCATATCAGTAACATGCCATCTCGTGACATGTAATGTACATGTACAATATTGCTGTACGGTATGTGCCTATCGTTCTTCACATGCCCAGGATGATGCAGCAATGTAAAACTTGGGATGTGCCAAAGTACATGTACATGTATGTGATACATGTATACATCGGGGGCATTGCGAGGGGGGAAAACCTGAATTACTGCCACCCCTCCCCCTTCCCCTCAAAGAAAAAAAATGTAAAATAAGGGGAAAGCAATGACAGAAAAAGCGAAGGAAACCAAATACAATGTACATGTGATTTTGTGCCAAGATACATGTAAACGTACATGTATTTTCCATTAAATTATTTGTTGGCGCGATGTCATTTCCAGTTGTACACTGCATATCATGCAGACACCATCACTAAATCCAGCAGTCTGCCGTTATGTGTGAACAGGTGTTGCACTGTCAAGTCCACCATAATTTACATGTACCAGTTCCCAGTAACATGTACATGTACCAATACATGTAAATCAAGTCTGATAACAAATCCAAGAAAGTACTGTAACTACTGAGGGGGCCAATATTGACAAGAGCACCTCTGTCATATTTCCTGTGAAAGAAGTTGTCTGGTGGCATGATGAGATTGGATGACTTGTAATTGACTTGTGACAGACTTTATCAACAGTTCTGGTGTCACACCATGGTCACATATCTGTACATGGTGTACACTTTTCATACATGTACTCAGTGGTATCAAACTTAATTAGAACGGAAATTTATGTAAAAGCCCACATGCAACGTCACATTAAGTAACATTTGCTTGTGAAAAGCAACGCATTTACAATGTACATGTACATGTACCTGTATGCTTAAGGGCAGATCTGACAAATCACCTTCTCCATGGATATACCATCCATGTACACGTACATGTACATGTAGACATCCTCTTCCCCAAATTGCTGTATCAAATGCTTCAATGTGTACCGTAACCTTGAGCCAAAATGTTTCTCTGAGCAACTCTGTATGAGTCAGCATTAACAAGCACTGGTGTCAAGAGTGCCTGTTAACAGGGAAACTTGTGAGTTACAGATGTATACACACACCAAGCATGGACCAAAAACAATACCGTACATCTATCATTTTGTACGAACAAAGCCATGGCCGATTCACACAAGTCGCACCCTTTCTGCGGAACAGTTTTAGAGTTATTTTGGGGTTAGGGTTACCTGTACGAGGCAAGAACAGTCGTGAAAAGTATAAGTAAAAATGCAAAATAGTGTTCACAGCGCACGAAAACGAGAAATAAAGGGATACAAATGGCACTTCCCAGCATAAGCTAATGCGCAAATGCCCTGCATGTTTTCTTTGGGCACTGTCGATCCCAGGCTTACCATATTTTTTAATTTCATTTGCTTCCCCTCCCCCCCTTACGGAGAATGCATTAGTTTATTGCTTGCAGTTCCCTGGGGTCGTTTCTTGCTTCTTGTAAAGTCTCACTACCTT